AAGGCTAGAGTTTGCAGGACAGAATATCAGATAGGAGAGAGTGGCACTCAGAGTGAACTTCAGATGCTTGTAAAGCTCCACCCTTCAGCTGAGTACAGATAAGCATTTATTTATGAGAAAACTCAGAGGCTGGGGAAAGAATCAACTGAAAGGATTTAAGGAAACAATCCTTAGCACTCACACAGGGCAGGGAATAAAACCTGTTCTGATCACCAAGTACAAAAAAGCCTCTTAATTTATGGAGCATTGAGTGGAATAAAGAGTTCTGCCTCAGGAATGGGGAAAAAAAAATTAGCCCTAGACCAAGTACTGCTCTGGTCACACCTGACACAGTTTAAAAGCAAGACTTGAAAGGATCCAACTGTTTCCAAGTAACTTATCCCAGAAAAAAAAGCTTAAGAATATTTATAGGAATACAGAAATATCCTGTACCCAACAAGGAAAATTTCACAATAGGGATCCAATCAAAAGTCATCAGGCATGCAAAGAACTATTATTTTAGTATTTTAAAGAGTAATTTCCTTGGAATTTTACTGAATCTTAAATTTTCCTTATAAACAAAAACAAAATTGTCATCTTTGTTATTTTCACCCTGTGTGCTAATCTCAAAATTCCTCCTCCACATCATTTCACTGCTATTCCCCATATGAAATATTAACACTTCTAAGGCAAGCAGCATAATAATTAAAAGCGCAAGCTTTTGAGACAGGAAAACCAGGATCTGAATTATTTCTTCCCAACTTATCTCTGTATTCCTGGAAAAGCCATTGAACCTCTCCATGTTTTAATTCACTTATCTATAACATGGGTATAATAATATTTGCTTCACAGGGCTACTATAATAAATAAGCCAAAACAAACAATAAATAGTAACTATCATTTAATAATATCACATTATCATAAGAAAAGTTACCATACACACATGCAAAAACATTTACTAAGTGCCTATCATTTGCTGGGTAGTTTACAGACACTAGGCATACAAAAGGGAATAAAGGAACCCAAAGTATATCTTATGTTGAACCCACATTTAAAAGTTAAGTACAAACTTCATATTCTATTTCTTCATTTCTAAGTAGGGCAATTATTTTAAGTTCTTCCTATAAAAATTAAAGAATGATTTTTTTCTCTTTGAAAGGAAAAAATAATCTTAAGAAGTTGTCAGGTTCAACCAATTAGGGCATGTCTGAGGAATACTTGGAACTTGAAAAACATGGTAAAATTTTAATTTAAAAGCAACCTGCAATTAACATCACCTTTCAAAATTATTCTCAAATTAGTAGACTAAATTATATTCAGACATAAAATACATAAAATGGACCAATCTGTTATTATGATAATCATTTCAGAAAGGCTGGGCCAACAGATATAAGGAACAAAAATCAAGTTCAAGTTTGTATTTCATTTGCTCATTCCACTTAAATGACTTCAGATGGTTTAAATATTAACCTTATTAATAAAATATCTGCATATTCACTATGAATCTGATTAACTTACCCTAACTCCATAAATTAATTTTATTACATGGCTTCCCACTTCATCCAAGGTCCTCTAGACCCCCATTGCTCAAAGCATGGTCCTCAAACCAACAGCATCATTGTCACCTGGGAGTTTGTTAGAACTATAGAATCCTATTCCCCATACAAAATCTATTCTGACTGAGTCAGAATTTGCATTTTTAACAAAATCCTTAGATGATTTCTATGCACAATACAGTAAACTGTTGTGGGGTATTTTTTTCTCACCTTTTTTTTTAACTGTCAGAAAAGTTTATTTGCTTATTAATAAGAATAATTCAATTCAGAGAAGTAAATCATATATATGCTAGATATCAATATATACACATATGTGTGTATGTGTGTGTGTGTGTATGAATCTTTATATCTCAGACTTCATCTTATCCCTCAACTAGGACTTCAAGTCTTAAAAGTCTTGTTATACTATTCATTTTTTTCTCTTGGGTTGACATTTTTGTTTAGCACGTGGCCAGTGTGATGAAAGTCTTCTCTGTAATCAAGCAACTATATAGTACAGAGCCAGGAGAAGAGATTTTCTCCATAATTTGGGGAGAAAAAAAAGAAAAAATTCAAAATAGGTTTATCCAAGGTTGAACCCGAAATTTCTTTAGAGAAAAAAGTTACAAAAAAAGATTACCAGAATGATTCTATCCTCCACTATAATATATTTCTGTGCTTTACCTAACATATATTTTTACTGCAGGTACCACATATTTTTAAAATAAGAAATTCACATGGGACTTGAGAGAGTACAGGTCTTTAGATGGCATCATCTTTTATGATTATTACTGCACAACAGTCAAAATGTCCATAAAATAGAACAAATCTTATTTCTCTTTCATTTAAAAAAAATGACAAACCTAAGCTGAAACTGATCACAGCGGGCAGGATAGTTCGGCACAGATTCAAAGGAAGGTACAAATGTTCAGTTTTCAAAAGCTCTGCAAAAGCCAAATTCATCTCTTGTCACTGTGGCCATGGCTTCATGCCAAACATCTGAAAACTGCTGAAAAGTGCTGTTCCTTCTAAACAATTATGAAGAGCTTTGCAAAGGGAAACAAATGTAATAACAATCAATTTCTTAAAATGGTCAAATGTCCATGACTTCTGGTTTGCAATGTAAGAGTTACCCAGCTTCAGAGACAGTGCACCCAAACCAGATGTCTTAGAAGAAAGGGTTAAAAAGTTTTAAGTTATTAAAAAACCTATTGGAGCAGTCTCAAAAGTTAAATATGTCCTCAAACAAACACAGCTTTTTATAAAATTCAATTATAGATCCATCATCCTTGAATTTAACTCTTTCTCATCCATTTTTGTATTTTCAGACTATATCATTTTTCAGTACACAAAGTTCCACAAGAGCACAACTAGGTATTTAATGTTTTTTTTAATAGGTCCATTGATTTCAAGCTTTTAGGAGAGCTCTTTATTCTAATATTCTAGAAAGTGATACCCTATCTCTACTCACATTCAAAGCCAAACCTCTTAGAATTGTCTATGTACTTTGACTTCATTTCCTCACTCTTCAGTCCACTCCTATTGGCTTCTACTCCCTTCACTCCACTGAAGCTTCTCTTGGCAAAGACTGTAAGGGCCATCATGGGGCTAAATGCAATGGACATCCTTTAGTCATTATTTTCTTCATTTTGCAGCATCATTCAACAAAGTTAATCAGTCTTTCTCTCCTTGACGTAACTCGTTAGCACTGATGAACCTTTATTTTCCTGGGTGCTACCCAACTCTCTGTCCCTTGTCAATCTTCTTTGGAGGCTATAGCCTCTCTACCTGACCTACAGATGTTGGACTACTTTGGGGTTTGGTTCTGGAATCTCATGTGATCCCAGGCTATAAATATCACCTTTATGCTACTAACTCACACCTTCACAACTTTAGCCCAGATCTGTCTTCTGAATCCAGAACAGTATATTCAACTACCTACAGTTGGGTGCTTAATAAACATTAAACTCAATGCATTCAGAATCGAAGTCCTGGATCTTTCCCTCACTGTTCCTCCCCCATTGCTTCTCTTTCCCAACAGTTTATCAAGTTGCTTCTGCCAGAAACACTGCAGTTCTTTACTTTCACCACTCACATACAATTCATCATCAAATCCTATCATTTTTGGTCTCTAAAATACATACCCAATTTCCCCATCTCTACTGCCATCCCCAGGTCTAAGCCATTACCATCTCTGGTCTACAACACTGCATCAATATTCTATATGACCTACCTGAATCCACTCATATTCCCCCACACTGCAGCCAGAGTGATCTTTGAGATGAAAATGCTCCTGCTTAAATCTTTTCAGTGGTTTCTTATTGGTTTTTAGATAATATTCACAAGACATCTGCCTGCCCCCACAGAAAGCCTCACCTCACGCTATCATTCCCTTTGTTTCCTAAACACCTATTGGCCTTCTCTCTAAACATTATAATGTTGAGATTTTTTTTTCCAAGTGTGGAGCCTTTCCACATGTTGTGTCTTCTACCTAGAATATCTGTTTTCTTCTTTTACTTACCGTTGCCCAAAATACACAAAACATGCACACACATGCACACGCATCTTGTACAAGTGTGTGTCCATAATCCAAAACCCCAGGGTCCACATCAAACAATCAATCAAACCAAGGTAACTGAATGACAGGTAATCGATGGTGTTAAAACATACCACCAGACCAAAAAATAATGACAGCAAGCCCTTAGAAAACTTAATATATACTAGGCACCATTTTAGGTGATTGATGTATATTAGTGATTTAATTTTCAAAACAATCCTATAAGATAGGACTGCTATCTATTATCTATTTTCTGTTATTAAGATGATATTAAGATATTTTTATTTTAGGATAAACAAGATACAGAGATTAAGTGGCTTAATCAAGTACATGGAAATTAGTGGCAAAGTTTGAACTCAGGGACTGGCAATGTGGCTTAATGGTAAAGCATGCATTTAGCATGCAGAGCAGGAAGCCCTGGGTCAATACCTGTTGGGCCAGGGCTCGGCACACACATATATACGCACATAGAAAGCTAAAATTCAAATTTAGTCCTGTGTGAGTGCTTGAGTACCAAAGAGCATGACAACTTGGTTATGGATGATTCAAACTTCACTTCCATAATTTACATAGTTATTTGGATATATATGTCCTCCTCTAAACTAAAAACATCAATGATAGAAGCCATTTATATCTTGCTCATCGCTAGAACCATAGCACCCTGAATAGAGTCTAAGCATATGTCTGAAGCTCAATAACTTGTTTAATATAAGAATGTTTACTATTCCCTTGCATAATTATTTTGAGATTATAGTGGATTCCAATTATGCTTATTACTACACACACATCTTATGTAAGCTGTCGGCTTGCCCATTCCTCAACATGCCTGTCCTTCTGTGTCCTCTCCTCCTATCCTTTTGCGACCACTGGTCATGGTACTGTCTCCCCCGGGTTGTGAGCAGGCAGCCATGCCTTAATTTTGGCCTCACCTTCCACGTGGTGGAAGCGCTCTGCTCAACTTCTGAGCCAGGACCAGGTGGCTCTCCGGTACCCAACAGCATGAATCGGCCATACCGCTGCAGTGGCCACTGTGCAGCTTCTCCTCCGGGAAGGCCAAGGCCCACGGCCACTTTTCCCGCCTGCGCCATGTCTGGGTCTGTCACGCATAGCCTGCTGGGATCTGCCAATCTGTACAGCTAGCCAATCAGAAAGCGAAGCAATCCAAGACCCACCCTTCCCATCAGCAGAAGCCAATAGGCAGGCTCTGGATGCTCTCCTAGCGGGTACTTAAGGCCTTAGGGTCTCCTTTTCTCCATACGTGCCCAGCAGAAATGATCTCGATTTCTGCTTTGAAGCAGGTTGTGATACTTATATGATAGTAAGTCTTGCGGCTGCAGCAGTGGAATGGGGCCCTCACCTTCCCTCAGGCAGCCCATGTCACTGTCCAGCAGCTCTGACTCTTGGGGAAATTTTGCAAACTGGCTGACTCCTCATAACTGCTGTACCCTGACCAAGCCTACAAGGGTTTCCCTCTTTGCAGCAGCCTTTCAGATGACAGTATCCCGGCCTCACCATAACAGCCCCAGTTCTACCAGTCATTCAAGGAGTCGGTTTATTTTCTCATCATTTTGTTCTCCCTGTAATACTACCACAGACTGTCATTTTTTTTTTTTCATCCCAAGAAAGTAGCAGATGGGTAAGGGGCGGCCCGCAACAAAAGCAGCAGGTGCAACTAAACAACATTTCTGTGTGATTTATAGTGGACCAAGCACTTCTACATCTGTTATTTCATTTACCTTCCAATAACCTTGTGGTGAACTGAAGAAGCAAAATGGGGAGTGTTACCCCCGTGGAATAGAGGGAGACAAAATAAGGTCCAGAGAGTAGATGTGATTTATGCAAGGTTACACAGTGAGTGAATGACAGAGCCAGAGTAGAACTGTGAATTCCACAATTTCTCCCAAGTGTCAGCCCCAACTTGCAAAGAATTTAGGCATTCATAGAGTCTGTGTCAAGTCAGAAGCAAAGTATACAGAGGGTGGAGGCTATGTTAACCAAATATAAGATAAAATACAAACTATTTTTTAAATATACTATGCACACCAAAGTACATTAAATGCATAGACAATGTTTGGGAAGGTGGTAATTTATTCACTCCACAAAGCATCATGTATCCACAGTGTGCAAATAACTATGTCAGTCAGCATCTGGTTATAGAAAGAGGTAAGGTATCCATCTCACTTCTGGGACCTCAGGATCTAATAGGAAAACAAAACAAGGTACAAACACTTTAATGATACCTGACAGTTCATGAACTCTAAGGATTCAGATAAAGTAAAAATCTACCAACTGGGAATGCAGTGGTATTTGAGTTAGGACTTGAAGGGTGAGATTTCCCAAGGGATGGATGAAACTGGTATTCCTGATGCAGGGGGAGGTGAGGAGCAAAGGTGCAGAGATGAGGATAATGACTTAACTAGAAAGAACATAAAGCTGTTTTTTTAAGAAAGAGGGGATTACAAAGACGAGTTGGGGCAAAAGATTATGGAACAGCAGCTAAGGAGCATGGATTTCTCATGGTAGGTAGTGAGAAATGTGGAAAATATGGACAGGGGAGTGACACTATCCTAGTGGTAGTCCAGTTAATTGCTCAGTGGCATATGGAATAAGTTGGATTAAAGACAAGGGGAGTTCGTTATCTTATCTTTTCATTAGTCCAGCAAAGCTTACCGAAGGAGTCAGATTTCAGAAACTTCTTCTGAAGGTCCTTAAATGACACAGCAACACTTTACTTAATATAGTAGGACATGGTTAAAAGCTTGGTTGGAATTCCAAGTCTGTCACTTGCCAGCTGTGTGACCTTGAAGAAGTCATTTAACTTCTCTGTAAAATAAGGTTATTAAATCATTAATCTTTCAGAGTCATTGAGAGGATAAAATAAGAGCATACATGGGAAAACACTTGGTAGATTGCAAAGTAGTACATGTGTTGATACTTTCTGTTTCCAGGGTTAAAGTGACTTTCCATGGGCTTGCTATAGGAAGGGAGGATGGGAATGGGAGCCTGACATTGGGTCTCAGAGGCACTCACCTTCCAGGTCCAGGGCTGCAGCTGCTGTCAGACACCCTTCACAGGAGCAGATGGTGCTCACAGTTGGGACCCTGTCAGTGCCCAAGGACACCCAGGGCCCTGCTGGGTTCCCACCTGCAAGCTCTCTTCCTAGACAATGCACCTGCACTCAAGCTTCTGGGGCCACCAGTGTCTGCCAAGAACAGGTAATGTCTGCAAAATGAGATATGATAAAGCCACTGCTCAATCCATGGAGGCTCATACAAATTTATAATATTAACAACCCTCAAGGGGACCTAAGCAATGTACAAGACACTGGGGATACAGTAGAGAATAAAACAGAGCTTCTGCCCTCCTACAGCTTACATTGTAGGAGTGGGATGGGGTGGGGGAAAACACTTAACAAATCACTTCATATTTTTAATGTTCAATATCCGTTCTTTTTAAAAAGTGAACTGTAATATTTATTAAGGTACAACTTCATACAACACAAAGCACAGTGCTGGGGATATAGCTCAGTTGGTAGAGTGCTCACCTCACATGCACAAGGCCCTGGGTTCAATCCCCAGCACTATAAATAAATAAATAGCACAGATCTCAAATGTTCAGCTATGAGTTTTTTTAATGGTTTTTATTTTTTATTGGTTTTTATTTTTTAGTTGTAGTTGGACACAATACCTTTACTTTTATATGGTGCTGAGGCTCGAACCCAGGGCCTTGCACATGCTAGGCGAGAACTCTACCACTGAGCCACAACCCCAGCCTCAGCTATGAGTTTTGACATTTATGTACACTCATGTAACCATCATACAAAATAAGATATAGAGCATTTCTAAAACCCCCCAAATTTCCATGTAAGTACCTCCCTACAGTTAACCCCCTACTCAATAAGGACAACCACTTGTCTGATTTTTATCACATAGTGAAGCTTTCCTGTCCTGGGTCTTTATATTTGAAACCATACAGAATGTACCCATTTATATCTGCTTCTTTGCTCAGTGTAATTTTTTCTTTTAGCTGTATTCATTTTGTATCAATTGTTCATTCTTTCTTTTTTAAAAAAATATTTTTTAGTTGTTGATGGATCTTTATTTTTTTATTTATTTATACATGGTGCTGAGAATCGAACCCAATGCCTCACACATACCAGGCAAGTGTGCTACCACTGAGCCACAGCCACAACCCCTGTTCATTCTTTCTTAACGCTGAATAGTATTCTAGTGTATGACTGTTTCACAATTTGCTTGTCACTTGTTGGTGGACATCTGTATTATTTTCCAATGTGTTTTTATTTAAGCTGTTATGAACATTCTTGTACAAGTCTGTTTTGTAGATATGCACTGGCATTTGTTTTCAGTAAGTACACACAAATGGAATTGCTGGGACCTAGAAAGATTCATATTTAATTTCTTATTTCTTATTTTAATTTCTTATTTAAAAAAAAAAAAAACTTCCAAAGAGTTCTCGGGTAGTGGTTGTACCATTTTGTACTGCCATGAGCAAAACATGGGAGTTCCAGTTGTTCTACATAGTGGGTGACATTTGCATTGTCATCTTTAATTTTAGCCACTCTGGTGAGTGTGCAGTGATTTCTCATAGTGATCTTAATTTGCATTTCCCTGATGATGAATCATGTTGAGTTCCATTTCAGATGGCTTATTGGCCATTTGTGTACCTTAGATTGTGAAAGGTTTTCAAATTTTTTACCATTATTTATTTGTAAAAATTCTTTATATATTCTAGATACCAGTCCTTTGTTAGATATTTATAATAAAAATACTGTCTCATTCTGATTTGCCTATTCATTTTCTCAACAATGTTTTGCAAAAAGCAAATATTCAATTTTGATGAACTGCTTTCTTAAATTGTCAAGGTTTTTTTTTTTTGTTTTGTTTTTTTGGTGTGTGTGTGTGCATGTTACATTCTGACTAAAAGAATCTTACTGACTCTAAAGTTGTACACATATTCTTTGAAAGTTTTCTTCTAGAAACTTCATGTTTTGAACTTTTACATCTAGGCATATGTTCCTTCTTGCTTTTAATTGTTTGTGTGAAATGAAGTAAGGACAGATATTCAATACTTTCCATATGGATAGTCACTTACTGTGTCATAGGATCAGGCTTCAGCCAACTACTGATGGAAATTGGCATATAAATATCTCAGTTTCCTCACTCCTCAAGTGGAGTAACCCTGAGGTTTCTGTTATATCCTGTTTTCCAGAATACCCCAGGGGGATTAAGCTCCACATGGTAGGGGTTTGGGGGGAAGGTTTGTTAATTTGTTTCCTAACTTACCTTCTTTGCTTCTCTCCCCTATCAGTTTTCTTTTGATCACCTCTTAAATGAATTACTTGCACTTGAATCCTTCTTCCAGGATCTGCTTCTGGGGAAGCATAAACTAAGATGGTAAAAAGCAAGACCAGCAGTCCTTGCCCCGGAAGATTTAGATTAATATAGTTACATGCAAGCTCCTGGTGCAAAAGGCATTCAGAGGAGAAGTCATTCTCACATCCAAAGAAGACCCTACTATGCCTTGCTGATAAGCAGTAACAGAACAACATTTGTGGTCCAAACTAATAAATGACAGGTGACTCTGAGCTAAAACATCTGTTACCAGATAGGGGGAAAAAAAAACTGGCCCCTGAAGTTTAAAGAAAAAAAAAAGTATTTACTTCCCTAATTTTTTTTTTTTTGTCCAAAATCCTTTTACTGTGTAACTCTATTTTGAAGGTGATAATCAGCATCATTTCAGGAAGACACTGCAGAACTGGTTTTGAAACCCTAGCATGTCTCTTTCAAAGCAAACTAGGGACCCTAGCCATCCCTAGGCTATTGAGTCAGTAAACAAAATGATGGCTCTTGTTTCCTTGGATCCCCTAGGTGACAGAATGACAGAGGAATCCGCACCTTCGCTCTTCCTCCTGTGTCCCTCAGCAATAGCACACAGAGTGGTTGAGAACTGCAGAGCACTATGGGGGACTGAGGGGTTTTCCTGATTGCATCAGTGAAGCCAGATGAGCTGTCAGACCTGGGGATGCTGTGTATAGAGGGGTGTTCCCATGGATCTTATACTCACGCTAGAAAGCAATTATTTTTGTTTCTATTGTGTATCTTTCACATACAAAAAACAGCTGCTCCATTGCAGGTAATTGAAAGGATTTCTATGCAATACAGAAAATCCCAACTTGTCCACAGGCTGCTGTTCATTGGCACAACATGAAAAAGAGATTAATGCTGACTTTTCCCATTTATTAGAAGCACAGAGAATAATAAGCTAGTAAATATTTTTTGCCAGATGGTAAATTTGGGAGCACATTTTACAAAGATGGGTTGGCATCAGAAGTAAATCCTACAGAAAGACTAGGAACTCACACCTTGAAGAGAGGAACTGTATTTGATTTATGTTGCGATCTCAAGTTCCTGGCACAGGGTAGGTTCCCAATTTTTTTTCTTTCAGTGAAAGGACTGCAAAAGAGAGAAAAGGGGTGATTTAAAAATCACTTTACATGCATAAAGGACTAACACGGGGAAATAGTTAATAACCCTTTCCCATCTTTATATCTTCATGCTTTGATGCTAAAGTTAAAGGAGAAAATTTTATGTCTCAAAACCTTAATCTGGTAGTGTGGAATGTCTAACCCTGGCAATTATAATTACATGGTCAATACAGGAATGTGGACCCCCTAGAAATCTTTTCTAATTTGATGCATCCTTTATTACATAGTTTATTGCCTGACCCTAGAGAAATCATTTAGCCCACCTCTATACAGTGAGGCTGCGAAATTTGCAATTTACCCCTCAGAGGACAGATGAAAGATCGTAAAGAAAAGACTTTGTGCTGGAGAGTGACTCAGCAAAAGCATTTTGAGTTTAGTTGCTGGGAACCCTTTGAATAATTTAGCCTGAAGCCATTGCGACTATACCTCTAGCTGATGTTAGGTTAGAACTGTGTGAACTTGGGACCTTTGGGAATAGTTGGGGATGCTTACACTGTTTCCTCAACTTAAAGCTTTGCCTCTGAGGGCATCACCATGTTTCAGAATGAAAATCCTTTCCCCAAGAGATAATTCTAAGGACAAACTGAGAGACCCAGAGGAAGAATGACTTTTTGTTTTGTTTTGTTTTGGAGTGGTCATGTCAGTTTGACTAAATTGTTGATTCATTTATTCAGCAAAGATTTCTTGGACTGAATAGGTTGCAGGTCTTTTCTTGAAAATGCTTCTGGGTTGATAGAGGAACATACACAAAGAAAATAATTCCTAGCATAATATGAAAGATGCTCAATAAAGATAAGAACCAGGATTGTGTTGGTGCAAATGAAGAGTGATAAACTCAAATGAACAGTTAGGAAGGTATACAAAAGGGTAGATAATCTCTTTTATTTCTTGTGGTAAAATTCATCATAATGCAAAATTCATTATTTTAACTCTCCTAAAGTGTAAAATTGCGATGTATACTCACTACACTGATAATATGGTCCAATCATCTCCACTATCTAGTTACAGAATGTTTCCATCACCCATTGTCCATCAGCAGTCAGTTCCATTAATTCCCTCTCTCCAGCTGTCGGAAACCACCAATTTTCTTTCTGTTCCTATGAATTTACCTATTCTGAATATTTCATATAAGTGGAATTATACAATATATGGCCTTCTACATTTGGCTTCTTTTACTTAGAATAATGTTTTCTTGTTGATGATTGCAGTGCCAGTGCTGGAACCAGGGCTTCACACATGCTAGGCAAGTGTGAAGCACTCTATAGTGAGCTACACCCCCAGCCCAGCATATTTTTTTTTTTAGTTGTCAATGGACCTTTATTTTATTTATTTATATGCAGTGTTGAGAAGAGAACCCAGTGCCTCACACATGCCAGGCAAGCACTCTGCCACTGAGCCACAAACCCAGCCCTCCACCCCCAGCATGATATTTTTAAGGTTCACTCATGTTATAGGGTGAATAAGTATCCATTCTTTTTAATGGATGACTAGTATTCCATTGAATATATATACCACATCACATTTATCCATTTCTCAGTTGATGGACATTTGGATTGTTTCCACATAGGTGGAGATTCTTGAATATCACTTTATTTATTTCAGGATAAAAGTGGCTTTGTTATTCTCTGATGAAACAAAGCAATACAGACTTTGAGGCAGCATTATATAGTTAATTTCTCTCTTCTATAACTTCTCTCCAGATACATAGCAATGACAGGTCAAATATATATATATATATATATATATATATATATATATATATATATATAAACAACCCAAAGGAGAAAACTGGGATCAAAGACAGGGCAAGTATCTCTGGAACTAGAAATCCACAGTTGTGTGCAAAAAGGAATCCAGGGTCATTCTAGGTTCTGGCAGAAAAACAGGAAACAAAGAGCTCCATACCAGACGTGGAATAGAATCAGGCCCTCGGCAGGAAGCCAAGGAGCTGGAGTGGATACCCCTTTTAGGCTGCCACCCTACTGCTCGGTGTAGTTATTTCCAGGAACACAGGGGCTGAACGAGACATGCTGATAATGGTATGAGCAGAAGCTGAGCCAAACCTCCTACAGGGCCTGGGACTGACTGTCCCCAGCGTGGCAGCAGAAGAGGTATTCTGAAACAGCTTATAGAACTTAGCTCTGGATGGGGTCTGGAGCACGTAGGGGAGGCTGGAGTGCACTACTCCACTAATAGAAAGTAAAGAAAGATGGAAAAATATAGAAAGCTTCCCACTTAAAATGACTCTGGAATTCAAAAGTCCAAAATGGGAGGAAATACAGTTCCAGGAAAGATTAGCATCAGAAGCAAAATAGGAGTACAAACTCATTTCTCACAAATTAATTATAAATAACAGACGAACAGAAAGGCTTTAAAACAACCAATACTAGTATGAACTTTAACTACATAGTAAATAACATAACATTGAAAAAAGAAACCAGGGCTGGGGATGTGGCTCAAGCGGTAGCGCGCTCGCCTGGCATGCGTGCGGCCTGGGTTCGATCCTCAGCACCACATACCAACAAAGATGTTGTGTCAGCCGAGAACTAAAAAATAAATATTAAAAATTCTAAAAAAAAAAAAAGAAGAAACCAAACACACATGAGTGCATAACACACATTTCCAATGCTGTACTGTGAAAAAAAAAAAAGGATGGAGGTTATACTCAGAAGAGAGCCCAAGGAGATTTTGGAGATGTTATATTTCTTGACTTGTGTCCTTGTTACCCGGCACCCTATCTTTGCAAAAAGTCTTATTTTATGTATAATCACTACTCATCATCCACTGATTGTGTATTGGCAAATTTACCTACTCATTAATATTTATTTGTAAACACAAACCAATACTTAGTGAGCTTTGTAGCCATCTGTAGACGTAGACAGTGAGGAGAAACATTTGAGTCATCACACATGTTCCCAGCTGAGGTCAGATAAAATGACGCTCTGCCCGTTTGTTTCAGCTCTCATATTGTCAACCCATGTCTTTTTCACAGTCTATGTAGCACTGTGTTGTTTGCGGGGAGGAAGGGATTATTTGCTTGTTTCTTGCCTTTGTGTGTGTATGTGTGTGTGTGTGTGTGTGTGTGTGTAAACGATTCCATTGTTTAAAATGGACACCGATCACAGTGCTGAAGTGTGGTCTGACGTACAAGACTGTGATGTGCCTACAGAGGAAAGCGTGTGACAGTGAAGTCTTATTCAGGCAGAAGTTACAGTGATGCTGGCAGTAAGTTTGATGTTAATGAATCAACCACATAGATACTAAGCGTGGTGTCATTAAACAGAAGCCCATAAAACAAGGTCATGTGTGGCTTGGTTGATGATAATGTGACCAGAGGCCTGTAGGAGCCTGATCCTATTTTTTGCCTGGAGCCATGGTTCAGCCATCACTCATTCAGTGTTCGTGGTGATTTTACAGAATATAGCTTTTGCAAATGACGAGCAACTGCATAGAATTGTATGTTTCTTTATGATGTTATACTTCAGCAGTATATAAAAATAAGTAAATAAAATAAAGGTCTAAAGTATTTATTTTTAAGAACTATATGAGGAAAGGTAACTGATAAAGAAGAGCAGAGGAAGCTGCAGCCTAGAGCATTCAGGGGGAAGGAGGAACCCTGGAAAAAAGCCAAAATGTCAGCAGAGATGGCTCTATCTCCAGAGGGCAGGAGTGGGGTGAGAGGCTGAAAACAGATGGGTTAATTGAAAGTTTATAAACAGAACACCCTTTCAAAATGTGAGGGTAAAACCCTAGCCACAGGGCACCTCTCCCAAGGCAGAGCATCTTTGCAGAAAGAAATGATATAACTCCCATTTATGTGACATTGGAGACCACTCAGAGGAGAATCAAACTTCTTGAAAACCTAAAGCAAAACTTTTTAAAGCCCAATGTGTTGTATATCTCCAGCTTTTCAAGTGCCTCATTTTTAATTAAAAAACAACAATAGATATTAGATATAAGATAAAAAAAATCTCCACTATAAAAAAAGGAGCAAGAAAAAGGATAAATCACACAAGTGAACACAGATAACATAGGAGAAGAAATAGATAATTAAAATCTTCAGTAAGAAATGAGAAACTGTACATCTATAAAACAAGAACAGGTTGCTGTGAAGAAAAAAAAGAAGCAATTAGAGGAAAAGGAGTGCTCAAAGAAAATTAAAAATATATATATATTGGTCAAATGTAAATCAAAGAGAACAGTTGGGAAATAAAGTTGGGGTTTTCTCCTAGAAGTAGAACCAAAAGCCAAAGAAATAAAGCACATAAAAGAAAACAATGATCCTAAAGTTCCAGTGAGATCCTGCTAAGCCCTTCTGATCTATGTAGGTCATGAAAATTTGAGGGAGTTAAATTCCTATGAGGTACTCAGTCTTTGGCCAATAGAAGCTAGAAGCCCATGGATAAACGTTTTCATTTTTTTGTTCCTGGGGCAAATAATTCTATGGTGCATCCATGTGGTTCCCAAAGGAATCTCTAGTGGGATCAAAACCCACAAGAGTTGCCTAAAAATCCCAGCAGCTAGAGAGGCTGAAGCAGGAGAAACACAAATTCAAAACCAGCCTAAACAATTTAGTGAAGCCCCAAACATCCATCATGTCAGCTTAGGAACTGAATTCCTCAACAAGACTCCTAAAGTGCCAGAAGTAAAATCAAGAATCAGTAAATGCAGGCTGGGTTTGTGGCTCAGTGGTAGAGTGCTTGCCTAGGACATGTGGGCACTGGGTTCTATCCTCAGAACCACGTAAAAATAAATAAATAAAATAAAGGTATTGTGTCTATTGTGTCCATCTACAACTAAATATATATATATATATATATATATATGAATGTATATATATATATAACAATCTATATATGTAAAAAAATCTATATATGTAAAAGAATCTATATATATGTAAAAGAATCTATATCTATCTATATATATATATGTAAAAGAATCTATATCTATCTATATATATGTAAAAGAATCTATATATATGTAAAGGAATCAATAAATGGGGTGGTGTCAAACAAAAAGCTTCTTCTCAGTAAATGAAACAATCAAGAACATGAAGAGAAAGTCTACATAATGGGAGAAAAATCTTTGCCACCTGCATCTCAGAGCGTTAATCTCCAGGATACATAAAGAACTCAAAAAACTTAAAATCAAAAAACAAACAAGTTGGGCATGGTGGCGCACACCTGTAATCCCATCAGTTTGGGAACCTGAAGCAGGAGGATCATGAGTTCAAAGCCAGCCTCAGCAAAAGTGAGGAACTAAGCAACTGAGTGAGACCTGTCTCTAAATAAAATACAAAATAGGGCTGGGATGTGGCTCAGTGGCTGAGTGCCCTTGATTTCAATCTCCAGTACCTCCCCCCAAAAACAAATACCCAGCCAACAAATGCGCAAAGGAACTGAGCAAGCACTGCACAGAAGAAGAAATATGAATGGTCAACAAATATATGAAAAGTGTTCGACATCACTAGTAATTAGAGAAATGCAAATTAAAACTACACTGAGATTTCATCTCACTCCAGTCAGAATAGCAATTATCACAGATTCAAGTAAGTAAATGGTGGTGAGGATGTGGGGGAAAGGTACACTCATATATTGCTGTAGGACTGCAAATTGGTGCAACCACTATGGAAAGAAGTATAGAGATTCCTCAGAAAACCTGGAGTGGAACCACCATTTGATCCAGTTATCCCACTCCTCAGTTTATACCGAAAGGTCTTAAAACCAGCATACTATAGTGACATGGCCACATTAATGTTCATAGCAGTTCAATTCACAATTGCTAAATATGGAACCAACCTAGGTGCCCTTCAACAGATGAATGGATTAATATAAGTGGTATATATACACACAATGAAATATTACTCAGCCATAAAGAAGAATGAAATTATGGCATTTGCTGGTAAATGGATGGAACTGGAGACTTTGAATCTAAGTGAAATGAGTGAAATAAGCCAATCCCAAAAATGTATATTGTTCTCTCTGATATTCTGATATTCAGATGCTGGCTCACAATAGGCTGGGTGGAGGGGAGAAGGAGAGGAGTTTCACCAGATTGGGGCAGGGGAAATGGGGAGGAGGTAGGGGGAATGGGAATGGGAAAGACAATAGAATGAATCGAACATTTATGTTTATATATGAATATATGAACAGTGTAACTCCACATCATGTAAAACCACAAGAATGGGAAGTTATATACCATATATGTATAGTATGTCAAAATACCCTATATTGTCATGTATAACTAAAAAGAACAAATAAAAATTAAAAAAATAAAAACAATTTATCGAGGCCCTAAGCAACTTTGCAAGACCCTGTCTCAAAAAGAAAAAAAAAATAAAGAAAGAAAGAAAGCTGAAGATGTGGCTCAGTGGTTAAGCACCCCTGGGTTCAATCCCTAGTACCAAACAAACAAACAAACAAACAAACAAACGAATGTGGCTTGAATGTGGCCCATTCTGTACATATCCTTGGATTGGCTTTCCTTTTTTCCTCTTTCACTCTTCCCAGTCCTCCCACCTCTGTTTCATGAGATCACTTTCAAATTAACGGTAGTTGGCTGTCTATTTTCCTGGGTTCCTCATCTGTGGATTCAATTAACCAGAGATTGAAAATAGATTTTTAAAAGTTGCATCTGTACTGAACATGTACAGACTTTTTTCTTCTTATCCTTTCTCCCTAAACAACGTAGTATCACAACTATTTATTTACATAGAATTTACATTTAGCTATTATAAGTAATTTAGAAGTGATTTAAACTAACTATATGGGAAGATTGTGTAGGCTAAACCCAAGTATTAGACCATTTTACGCAAGAAACTTGAGCATCTGTGGATTTTGTTATCTACAGGGGTCCTGCCACCAAATGTCAATGGGGACCAAGGAACCCCTGGACTAGATCTTTTTAAAAAAACTTTTTTATACCTTTCTTTTGTTTATTTAGAGTTTGTTGTTGTTGTTGTTGTTGTTGTGCTAGAGATTGAACCCAGTGCCTCACACGTGCTAGGCAAGCACTCTACCACTGAGCCACAATCCCAGCCCTGGACTCAGTATTGATTTATGCTTTTAGAGGGAATTTAAGCTAAGACAAAAATTCCAGAATATTTCATTATTACAAAAAAATCCTGCTAAAAAATCCTACTTTATTCTTTTACACTGTGCCTGTGACCATCCATGTGTGAGTATTCTCTGTGGTGCAAATCTGAAAGTAGAACTCTTTAGTCACATAATGTGTGCATTTTCAATTTCATTTGAAATTGACAGGTTACTTTCCCATGTAAATAGTGCTAACTTACATATTGTCCTCAATGTTGAAAATTCCCATTTCTTTATATTCTCTTTAGTGTTGATATGGTCTGATTTTATACTTTGCCAATAACATAACCTCATTTTATTATTTTAAAATAACAATATTTATTTGAATGCTTATAGCATACCAGATTCTGTTCTAAGCATTTATAATGAGCTAATACCATGTTTTTATTAGTGCATTATGGTTGTAAGTGAAATTGGGATTCATTTTGAAAAATAGGAATGCTTCACGAATTTGTGTGTCATTGAGCAGGGGCCATACTAATCTTCTCTGTATCATTCCAATTTTAGTATATGTGCTCTGCCAAAGCAAGTGTTCATTATTTTTGATGTGCATTCCCTTGATCATTATCAAAATTAAGTATTTTTATATGTTTATTGCTCATCTTATTTTCCCCTTATGTGAATTGCTTATTCATATCCTCTGTACATTTTCTTTTGCTTTCATCTTTTTCTTATTGATTTACAGCAGTTTTTCAGATATACTAGGTACTATTCCATTATCTGTTAAATACTTTGCAAATGTTTTATCCCAGTGTTTTACTTGTTTTCTAATTTCTCCTATGATACTTAGGGCTTGTTAATTTTTAACGTAATCAAATTAATTTTTTTTCTTTTATTGTTTGAGTTTTTTAGTATAATTTTTTGTGTCTTGTCTAAGAAATCCTTTTTTGTGTGTGGAGTTTTGTTATTTATTTATTTATTTTTGGCACTGGGGATTGAATACAGGGGCACTCAACCACTGAGCCACATCCTCAGCTCTTTTTGTGGAGACAGGGTCTCGCTAAGTTGTTTAGGGCCTCGCTAAGTTGCTAAGTCTAGCTCTGAATTTGCAATCCTCCTGCCTCAGCTTTAAGAGCCACTGGGTTACAGGGTGTGCTACCATGCTGGGCCTGTGGAGGTATATAATGATATTTATTATTTTCCTTTTTTTATGATCTTACATGTTGGTTTTACCTTGGGTCTTTAATATACCTGAAATTTATTTTCAAGTATTATGTGGGGAAGTTTTGTTTTTGAGCTAACAAGCATCTAGAAGAAACATTCCTTTGCATTCAAAAATGCTTCTTGAAGAGACATTTTGGCATTCTGAAAAATGTACATTTGTCAGAATATACCTAGAAATGGAAGAAAGGTAGAGAGGGAAATAATCATAAAGAAACCAGAGAAATTTCACATGTCATCCAAATGTGAGTACTAGGACCTTATTTGGGCAAAGCAATCATACAAAAACCACTTTGAAAAGTTTTCAGAAGGTCTCAGTTGTCTACAGTTGGCACATTAGTGAGTATTTTTGGATTCACTTCCATTATTCAGTTGAAATATGCTCTGAAAAATTGCAAAAACTGTGAAAGGGGAAAATAAGTAGCTTCAATCAGCAAAAAAATGGGAAAGGTTTGTGGCAAGAAAATTATGTTTAAAAGACTAAGTGAAAGCATTTAAGGATTTTCTACTGGTTTGGAATAAATAACCTATATTCATTCATTCATTCAACAAACATACTGAGCACCTGCTCCATTCCAAGGACTGTCTTAGAGGTATGGGAGATAGAGAAATGAGTAAGTCCCTCTCCTTCGGTTCAACAAGTTCCTTCTAGGCAAAGAGACAAATATGTAAGGAAATGACTCATCATTCTATATGATGAACTAAATGAAAGCAGACTATTCAAACTTAACACGGAGTAGGAGCAATGAAGTATCTAGTCTGGGGAGGTGGAGGTGTTCCTGGAGAAGCCAGCATCTGAGGAACTACTTAAGGGTGAACAGTGGTTGGCCGGGTGGACCAGAGGGTAGGTATGAGGTACCTTCAAAGACATTGCAATGGGAGGGAGCAAAGGAAGCAGACACAGGAGAGGCAATTGTGCCTCCAGGGGGTAGGGAAGGGTCTGAAAATGTCACACACAAAAATCAACTCCAGCCAGGCACAGTGGCACACGCCTGTAATTCCAGCAACTTGGGAGGTTAAGGCAGGAGTTCAAAGCCAGTCTCAGCAACTTCGGGAGGCACTTAGCAACGCTCAACAAGACCCTGTCTCTAAATAAAATATTTTAAAAAGGGAATGGGGATGTGTTTCAGTGGTTAAGCACTCCTGGGTTCAATTTCCGATACTAAAAAATGAATAAATAAATAAACTCCTCCCAAATTCTGTTGCAATGTGAACTCGTCTTAGTTCCGAAGACAAGATACACATTTAGCAAGAAAACAAATGTGGACTGAAATCAACCTTCTTTTGCATCTATGTCTAGATTTCATTCATCCTTTTTGTTAAGCACCAGTTTGTGCCAGGTGCTTAGAGATACTCAGGAACTCTTATGAAAAGACAGACAGAAATACACATGTTAATAAGACAGGACCTCCAGGCTGGGGATGTAGCTCAGAGGTAGAATCTTTGTCTAACATGCACAAGGCCCTGGGGGCAATCCTAGTACTAAAAAAAAAAAAAAAAGAAAGAAAGAAAGAAAGAAAATAGACCAGACATAGCCTATTGTAGTCGTCCTGCGTAGGAAGTGGTACCCCAGGTACAGTATTAAAAATAGTGCCTGATTCTGTCTGGGAGAATCAGGAAAGAGAGACTGAGGAATGGGGTCCTTGAGCTGAGGCTTGGCAGGTAAGTTTGCCAGGCAGAGAAGTAGGAAGTAGATCATTGCAGATGGTGACTGTGGGATGTTATGCTATAAACATGGTCGGTCACCTTGCTTCTTTTAACTGCAACTATCTCAGCCATAACACCGGCCCAGGGAAGAGAAGCAAAGCCATCCTTGGAAGAATGATGGCTATAGAGATGTTCTCCTCATCATTATATAGTGTTCTGTGAAGTAGCCAGTCACCAAATTACCCAATTAGGATCTAGCCAATCAGACAGTATCCCTCAAGAATTCAGAGAATGTGCTGCTTTGGTGGCGCACACCTGTAATCCTCAATAAGTTGGAAGACTGAGGCAGGAGGATCACAAGTTTGAGGCCTGCCTCAGCAACTTAGCGAGAGCCTATCTTAAAAATAAATAAATAGAACTGCAGATGAGCCTCAGTGGTAGACTTTCCTGGGTTCAATCCTCAATTTAAAAAATAAAAATAATTTAGAGAATGCAAATTGGAGTGTCTAGTTAGAGTAGGAGGATAATGAAACCAGCACTCAGATAGAAAAAGGGATGTGGTTAGAGTGCCTGGTGCCTAGAGTCCCCTTGGGCCCCGAATAATATTTTTTTTCTTTTCTATCTTCTTTTTATTTTTGATACCAAGAATTGAACCCAGGGGTGCTTAACCATTGAGCTACATCCCCAGCCCTTTTTAAAAATTTTTTATTTTGAGATAGTCTTGCTAAATTTCTGAGGCTGGCCTTGAATTTATAATCCTCCTGCTTCAGCCTCCCCAGTCACTGGGATTACAGGAGTACACCACTGTGCCTGGCCCTGAACAGCTTTTTGATTAAGATTCAGTCCACATGTTTCCCTACAATAAGGCTCCTTGCTTTCTAGTAGTTTTATTACTCCAGATCTTGAAGCTAAGCCCTACATGCCTACATATGTAGTGTACAAGGTACTGGAGGGTTGATTAGTCTAATATTTCAGGGCAATTCAAGGTAAGGCATAAGGAAGGCCATAAGCATGAACATTTACTGAGTGCTTATGATGTGCCAGGAATTGTTTTGGGTGCTTCACAAATATGAATGAATCTACTCTTCAAAATAACCTCCACGAAGTACTGTAGCCCCATTTTATCATTAAGGAATCCAGGGTACAGAGAGGTAAAGCAGCATACCCAAATTTGCACAGCTAGTAAGTGACAAAGGATTTGAACACAGGCAGTTTGGTTCTAGAACCATCAAACTTGGCCCCAAATCAAGCTGCTTCTGTAGAGTTAAGAAATGGTGCTGTGAAGGTAGGCAGGGACAGATGATGAAAGACTTTGCTAAGAAGTCTACATGATTCAACAGAGAGTTCTGCATTTATGTGCTTTACATAGTACATTTCTGTTTGAAGATTCATTTAGATATAGGGTTCTGCTTCTAAAACTGCTAAAGGCAATGGCAGTGACCTAGGAATTTTAAGCTAGTGGGTGATTGGGTCTGATTTGTCTTTCAGAAAGATCATGCTGGGAGCAGTGTGGAGAAGGAATTGGTAATGTCGCAAGCAGGGACAAGCCGTGGTCTGGATGAGAGATGAAGAGGTTTGATGTAGAACAGTGTAGTGGGAATGAAAAGCAGAAGTGGGTGTGAGGTATATTTAGGAGGGAAATCAACAGGACTGAAGAGGCTCGTTGGATGTGGTGGAAGAGAGAGAAGTTGGGGTCCCAAGTGACTACTCAAGGGCACTCGTCACACACACGCACATCCACTGGTGGGCACATGCTACGCATAGAGGAGCGCGGTTAATGCTGGGGAGGAGTGAGCATCCTCAGATTCACAAATGCATTTCCATGCTAGGTGACGTCACTCATGGTTACAGCTACAAAGCTCCTTTTCTCCTCTTACTCTTTATCAGAATCCTGACGGGAAATGAAATGTTGCTCTATCTATTACAGATAGGTTTATTGTCCATCCATCTAAGTGGTTCTCTGCCTGGGTCATGCCATCACACCCTCTACAAAGGAAGGGTTGAAAATTTGTGGAGGCGATTTTAGTTGTTCAGTGACCCAGGCCTGCTGTAGATCTTCAATTCTCAGGGACCAAACTGCTAAACATCATTCAATGAAAAATCATTCTGGACAAAATTTCAATAGTGCTACTTCTGAGAAATAAGAACTTGGTCATTAAAGAGACCTCCGCTTGAAACAGCCCCTCCTCTTAGCAGGTGGGGTCACTTAGTTAATGTCTTTGAGCCCTACGATGAGAATCTGTCACCTGCCTGCCAGACTTCTCCTAAGGATTCAGCCCAGGTAGCACGGCATGTGACATATACGGGGTTCTTGGGAAGAAGAGTTTCCCTTCTTTGTTTAGAACATCTTATCCCTTTTTTCGGCTTCCTCTTATGGGTCATGAACCAGTATGCTAATTTCCAAGAAGCAAATGTTGTTCCCACCCCTCTCATGATCCTGGGCACTAAGTAGGCCTGTGCAGTCCACTTAGGGGTATGTGATTGACAGCAAAATGTCCCTTGAAATAACTCGTGAACAGCTTGTGGAAGTTGAGCTGTCAGAAATTCCAGCTCAGAAAGAGCTGTTGCCAGCACTGGTGACTGTCAGCCTGTTATATTTATAGAGACGGGGGCAGTGTAGATGAATGGATGGTTCAATACCAGAACTGGGGTGAAATCATGAAGAGGTCAGTGACTATGTCCTTACTTCAGAAATCAGAGAGCTAATGGTCCTGTAAGGAC